GCCGCCAGGTTCCTGTTGGCACATTTTCACAGATGTTTATCAAAGCAGATTTTCTTTTCATTTTCTGGAAATAATTTAGTTTTTTTCCAGACTGCGGTCCAAGGGTCAGAGGTCAGAGGTCAGAGCAAGACTGGCTTGGAGCAGAATCTGATGCTTTTGCTTTATCTTGATGCTAATAGTTTGTCACAAACAAGTGACAGAATTGCAAAAAATATTGTTTATAGTTTCTTTTTTCTTTTTTTATGACTCATATTTAATTTGTAAAAAAATCAAGTTTTAAATATGTTTTGTTAGTTTTATTGGTATTTTTGAGCCTTTCGGTGTGTAGCATCTACACGTCATTCTGCAGATATTACATATTTCACTTCATGTCAAGGTAAAATTAACTAAATGTTTGGTTTTTTTGTAAATCTAGTGTTTAATCAAAATACAATAATGTTGGAGAATTTCTTTCCTTTTATAAAATAAAGTTCATTTCTCTTTTCGGTTATTGTCATAAATTTTTTATTTCATTTTTTCCTTTTTTATCTACAGAGGTTTTGTAAAAAAAAAAAAAAAAAAAGGAATTAAAAGAAGAGCTTGTAATTTCTGCACATTAATTTTCTTCATCAGGATGTTTAACAGAGAATCTGCAGAATCCTAATTCTGACTTTAAGATATTAACATTCCAGGAGTTTTATAAAACAGAGGAAGGACCGACTTCTGGATTGATGACACTCATGCATCAATCTCACCAGACACAGAATGAATTTTAAATAAATAAGAAAATCTAGAAAACAAGCCCATTTAAAAATGCAAAGATGACCGACGTCATGATGAACTCCCCGTCTGTGACCTTTGACCTGATGGCTGCCATGTTGCATTCTCAGGTGACCTTCATGGCTCCCAGATTGTAGCGAAGTTACTAATATTGTCTCTAATATCCAGACATGGCCTGAAGATTATATGATTAAAAACAGATTTCTCACAAAATGCTGATGTCTGTCACATGGATCTATTTTCAGCGGCGGATTAATCACAAAGCTAACTGCGTGCACAGTGAGCGTTGACACTGACAAAGATGAAAAGTCATCTGGATGCTCATTTCTTCCTCATCTGATGTTTTTTTCTGCACTGAATTCTGGGACTTTGTGGCTCCAGAATGAAATAAATGCAATAAATAAATCTGAACCTGGAAAATAAAATGCTTCATGAACGAATCTGGGTTTTTATTGCTGCTGCGTTGGGATCAGCGTGTGTGAGCCGGATAGGAGACTTTTCAATGCAAAGATAAAACAGGTTTAGTTTCTTCACAGCGATTCATGTCTGCAGCACTTTGGATGTGACCAACATTTCATAAAGTAAAATCTGAAAGATTCATGGAAAATCTCCTGTTATTGTGTTTACAGGTTCTGTGGTTTTATCATTTTCATGATTTGCATTTTGCTTTGATTAACTTTTTATTTTGTTTCATTTAATTTTCAACAGAATTCAACAAACCTGCAGTTTTCTCTTTTTATTTTGACCAAAATAGATTTACAGAATAAGAATCACAAAGCTGTAAACGTCTGTAAAGCAAAACTTTACAGACGTTAAGTTTTGCTTTCTGTTCTGTCAATACTTTTTATTTTTTATATGTTTTGTGCACCCAGCCACAGTCTGGATGGATTGAGTTTTTAATAAACATATATCAGCTTTCATGGCCAGAAACTGGCAGCCTGTGATTTCTACAGTTATTAATCCAAAGACATAAAACAAATGTATTTCATATAGTTTATTAATATTTGTTGTAGATGCTGTGTCAAGAAATCCGAGATCATCCCACTTCCCCATGCTGGAGATTTTAGTTTAACAGTAACAACAAATAAAGTTACCTTTAAAATAAGTCACACAAATCACATCTAGATCCAACAGTAGACCCAGACTGCAATAAAATAAATCTGGTTGTGTGTTTTGTTTTGTCTCCTGCAAACTTAGCTTTCGTTATACTTATTTTTTCTATCTAATCATAAGAAATCATAGTCAGAGAGAGATGAGATGGGAAGAGCAGGTTTCCTGGAAATAGAGGAAGTAAGTTTCCAGCTTGCAGATGTATAAAAATAGCTGAGACTATTCTTTGTTTAAAAGCATAAAAGTTTTTAAAGGATAAAATCTAAACATTTTGAGTAATTAGATAAGATTTAAAGTAAAGTACTGATATTAATATTGGTTTACTTATAACAATACTTACTGACACTTGTGGAAAAACGTACAAGTAAAACAAGTAACTAACTTTGATATCAAATAATAAAAGAGTAATAAGTTGTGATTATCATAAACTTATAAATGAATGCTAAATTAAAGAAACTAATAGGTTTATGAATGTGATTTTAACATTGAACTTGAAATGGTGTAAAACATGTATCTGCTATTAAAGATCACTGATGATGTGTTGGAGGTGGATAGAAGGTGAAAGGTCAGGGGTCAAATGGGGACTGATGGAAAAGCAGAGATGACCAAGACCTTATTAGGAGATAGCTTGTTGAACAACTAAAACATGTCAGAGACATGGGAGGAAGATTGAGCAACCCTGAGACATTAGCCAAGACATCAGGACAAAATGTCTCTAAGACAGTGATGGATATGAGTTTATCTGTCCAGTTACCCAATAAAGCACAGCAACAGTGTTAGCCAATGAAAATGCACCGAAAGCGGGTATAAACCCTATATAAAGAGGAATCTTTGGTTGGATCCTCCAGGCAGCTTCGAGTCAAGACCGAGATGGACAAAGAACTCTGCAGCTGAAGAAGAGCCAGAGACACAGAGACGAAGACTGTCCTGTTCACGGACCAATCCATCAGCCCCGCAACATGTGGCTTCAAATCGCACTTCTCTCATCGGCTGGGTTCAGACCCCAAGGACAAAGATGAAGACAAAGATGAAGATCAAGACAAAGACCCAAGTCCTGTGTGACCTCACCATGGATGCAGAGACTAAAGCTCATCAGACCAACAGAGATCCCTGCCTTCATCAATCAACCTCCTCTTCCTCCTGCTGCAACACCTTCTTCATCATCGATCCAGTTCTGGGGTTCGAGACACCAAACTCCGTCCGTCTCTCTAAAGATTCCCTTTTTAGTTCTTAGTATCAGCGTTAGGGAAAGACAGGCTAGATGATTGATTTTACTTATTTGATTATTTCTGCTACTTAATTAAGCTGTACTGACCCTTGCAAAATTGCTTTACTAATAAAATATTTAGCATAAAGAAAATCTAAAAGATGTTGTAGACATTCAATTAATGAGTCACCTCAAAGTTCTTTGATGGTAGTAAAATAGCTGTGATGTTTGATTCTGGGGAAGAAAACTAGGTCATGTTTTATAGGTTGCTTTAGCCCAAATTTAAAACAACATCCTTGGGACTCGCCAGAGTCACTAAAACCAACCTGATTCAGTAACAAGTGCAAGTTGCAAAAAAGAGAAGGAGCGACCGTTAACAGATGTGCTCTGTGGAACTAGTTATCTGTATGTTGCTCAGTCTGGCTAATTCACAGGGGGAAGAAGGGTGAGACATCTGGATGTAGGCCGTAGAAATCAGGAAATCCTTTCTAGAAACCAGCTTAAACAGAGTTTACTTCAGTTCTGGATCAGGTAAATCCCTGCAGATTTAGGAAACTCAATTCACCCGTTAGATGGAGAGCTGGTAGGACATCTCCCCTCTCAGAAGAGGAAGTAGTGACTGAGAGAGGAGAAAGGGAAGGAGAGGGGGTGGGGGGGGGGGGGTAGCGGCAACGACAGCTGACAGCGGCAGCCATGAAGGCTCTCCTGTTGCAGTCTGTGCTACAGCGGTTCTGTCAAAGCTTCTGACTGAAAACAGCCTGTTCCCCTCCTGGCCTGTGGGGGCGCTGCACCAAGAACCACTGCAGGAAACGACACTAAAACCTCTGAACACACTGAGAGCAACTTCCTGTTTCACCAGATGAAACAAGATGGAGGCATCAGAGTTTAGTGATTTCTCTTTAGTCTTTAGCTGAAGACCAGGAGCCATTTCTGCTGCTAATGCTAGGCTAGCATGTTAGCTTTGGTTGGATTTATCCAGAATGCCCTGCGCTGTAGTTGGAGTTTGATTCTCATCTCACCAAACAAACCGAACTTCCCTGGTAAACAAACTGGAGTTTGATTGAAGTGGACTGAACAAGGACAGTGCAAGTGCAGCTTAAACCTCCTCTTCCAAGGTCCTGCAGCAGCAAGCTGTGCTGCGGTGCAGATACAAACTGTATACTAACAGAAGAGGAGACCTGATTTCGGTTATTTCAGCTGTCTTCTATGCCTCTTCTGCATCCAGAAACATTTTTATTTTCCTTTAACTTGTGAAAATGATCCAAAAGCTTCAAATCAAACTGTTGTTCCCCTCAGTGACCGCCAGGGGGAGCTGCAGCTTCACAGCATCCTGGCGGAATAGAAAAGGATTTTTTCGTTTCTTGCTTTTAAAGAAAAAGTGAAACAACTGAAATATCCTTCGTGACATTTTCGGCCAGCTGCATCGATGGAGCCTTTAAAACCTTAAATCGGAGCTTTTGTCGCAGCTGCAGCTGCTGCTGGAGGTCAAAGGCAGCAGAACCAACCTGAAAACCACAGACTGCTTCTGCGCATGGTCAGAGGCAGGCACCATCCTCATCCTCTCTCTCCGCCTTCCTCACTCGCCGTGCAGCCGCCTCCATGTCCGGATGAAGATGATGAAGATGCTCCCGGCTGCAGCTCCAGCTGAGCCTCCAGCCTCCCGCTGACCGTCGGTCCTCCATCAGCCCGGGACGAGGCGCCTGCTGCGGGGAGGAGCAGCGCGTCCAGCGCGTCCAGCCGGTCGTGTGTCCACCGGCTGCAGATTTCACACACACACGGACAGCAGGAGTGTCTTGGACCAAATTGTTGGCAGCTTGCATCACAAGGTCACTTTGCTGGAACGGTGCCTTGCTCGTGGGCTCGCAGGCTGCCGCTGCTGAATGTGTGTCAGTGGGCCACCGGAAAAACAGACTCGACATTCCAGGTTCGTTTTATGCGTGACATCCCGCATCAGCAGCAGTTAAGGGGAGGTGGTGTCAGGGCTCACCTCTCCTTTAATGGTCACACTGCTTCTGACACATCCGAACCGAACCCCGGCCGTCACAGGCGCAGAGAACCCAGAACACAGCGGGAGGAACATTTCCTGCTGCTGGCCCTTTAAGGGACCTGAAGTTGAACCGCCTTCAGCTCTCGCGGCTTCCTGGTGAGATTCCCAACATTTTCCAACATTTCTGCTTTGGATGGAGACGAGCTATGAACACCAGCAGATTTTGAAATGAGTTTTATGGCTGGACTTTGACTAGGCCAATCTAGCATTGGTTTGGTAGACCAAGGTGGGAAATTCTGACTCTCCAGTTGGAAAAGTCAACTGGAACCAATCAGAAATCAGATTTCCCCAAACTTGGCGATTCAACATGGCCGCCTCACATCACCAGGGGCAGACTGGTGGAGGAAACATGTTTTACAGCCTGGAAAACACTGCAAAACTTTTGCTCATTCGGGCCGAACGTGACAAAGGAGCTGCTGCCAAAATTTAAACCTTGAAATGACTGAAAATCTGATTTTCTTTTCTACCTTCTTAGTAATACACCAAATGTGAACTATTTTAATTCAATGAACTATATTTTTAGGACAAAATGGAATCATAGATTTAAAACTTCAAATGTTTTTTGCATGTTTTCCTTGAAAAACATCCAGTTTGATTAAAATGATAAAACTGAAGAAATAGTTCAGCCCAGTTTTACTCCAGCAGCTGAAAGCGGGTCCGTCTGCGCACCAGAACCAGAACCTTCCCTGTTACCATGGCAACAGGGAAGCAGACAGCTTGCGAGACATGATGACTGTGTCTTGATTTAAAAGTCATAGTTTTGTCCTAGTTTTGAATTGTAGTGAGGGGCCACAAAAATCAGGCCAGGGGCCACAAATGGCCCCCGAGACTCAGGTTGAACACCGTTGATCTACAATAGGTGTCACCAGCAACGTCTGCAACTCTAGACTGACCGACCTCTGCAGCAGAACCAACCTGACTTTACAGCAACTAAAGACTCTCAAGCAACTAAAGACTTTACAGCAACTAAAAACCTTACAGCAACTAAAGACTTTACAGCAACTAAAGACTTTACAGCAACTAAAGACTACAGCAACTAAAGACTTTACAGCAACTAAAGACTTTACAGCAACTAAAAACCTTACAGCAACTAAAGACTTTACAGCAACTAAAGACTTTACAGCAACTAAAGACTCTCAAGCAAGTAAAGACTTTACAGCAACTAAAGACTTTAGAGCAACTAAAGACTCTCAAGCAACTAAAGACTTTACAGCAACTAAAGACTTTACAGCAACTAAAGACTTTACAGCAACTAAAGACTCTACAGCAACTAAAGACTTTACAGCAACTAAAGACTCTCAAGCAACTAAAGACTTTACAGCAACTAAAGACTTTAGAGCAACTAAAGACTCTCAAGCAACTAAAGACTTTACAGCAACTAAAGACTTTACAGCAACTAAAGACTTTACAGCAACTAAAGACTCTCAAGCAACTAAAGACTTTACAGCAACTAAAGACTTTACAGCAACTAAAGACTTTACAGCAACTAAAGACTCTCAAGCAACTAAAGACTTTACAGCAACTAAAAACCTTACAGCAACTAAAGACTTTACAGCAACTAAAGACTTTACAGCAACTAAAGACTACAGCAACTAAAGACTTTACAGCAACTAAAGACTTTACAGCAACTAAAAACCTTACAGCAACTAAAGACTTTACAGCAACTAAAGACTTTACAGCAACTAAAGACTCTCAAGCAAGTAAAGACTTTACAGCAACTAAAGACTTTAGAGCAACTAAAGACTCTCAAGCAACTAAAGACTTTACAGCAACTAAAGACTTTACAGCAACTAAAGACTTTACAGCAACTAAAGACTCTACAGCAACTAAAGACTTTACAGCAACTAAAGACTCTCAAGCAACTAAAGACTTTACAGCAACTAAAGACTTTAGAGCAACTAAAGACTCTCAAGCAACTAAAGACTTTACAGCAACTAAAGACTTTACAGCAACTAAAGACTTTACAGCAACTAAAGACTCTCAAGCAACTAAAGACTTTACAGCAACTAAAGACTTTACAGCAACTAAAGACTTTACAGCAACTAAAGACTCTCAAGCAACTAAAGACTTTACAGCAACTAAAGACTTTAGAGCAACTAAAGACTTTACAGCAACTAAAGACTTTACAGCAACTAAAGACTTTAGAGCAACTAAAGACTTTACAGCAACTAAAGACTATACAGCAACTAAAGACTTTAGAGCAACTAAAGACTTTACAGCAACTAAAGACTCTCAAGCAACTAAAGACTTTACAGACACTAAAGACTTTACAGCAACTAAAGACTTTACAGCAACTAAAGACTCTACAGCAACTAAAGACTTTAGAGCAACTAAAGACTTTACAGCAACTAAAGACTCTCAAGCAACTAAAGACTTTACAGCAACTAAAGACTATACAGCAACTAAAGACTTTACAGCAACTGAAGACTCTCAAGCAACTAAAGACTTTACAGCAACTAAAGACGTTACAGCAACTAAAGACTATACAGCAACTAAAGACTTTACAGCAACTAAAAACTTTACAGCAACTAAAGACTTTACAGCAACTTAAAACTTTACAGCAACTAAAGACTTTACAGCAACTAAAGACTCTACAGCAACTAAAAACTTTACAGCAACTAAAGACCAACAAACTGAAAACAAAAATAATAAAACTAAATAAAACAATAAAAAAACTGTAAAGTCTTTAGTTGCTGTAAAGTCTTTAGTTGCTGTAAAGTCTTTAGTTGCTGTTAGTCTTTAGTTGCTGTAAAGTCTTTTTTTGCTGTAAACTATTTAGTTGCTGTTAGTCTTTAGTTGCTGCAGTTTTTAGTTGCTGTAGTCTTTAGTTGCTGTAGTCTTTAGTTGCTGTAAAGTCTTTAGTTGCTGTAAAGTCTTTAGTTGCTGTAAAGTCTTTAGTTGCTGTTAGTCTTTAGTTGCTGTAAAGTCTTTTTTTGCTGTAAACTATTTAGTTGCTGTTAGTCTTTAGTTGCTGCAGTTTTTAGTTGCTGTAGTCTTTAGTTGCTGTAGTCTTTAGTTGCTGTAAAGTCTTTAGTTGCTGTTAGTCTTTAGTTGCTGTAAAGTCTTTAGTTGCTGTTAGTCTTTAGTTGCTGTAAAGTCTTTAGTTGCTGTTAGTCTTTAGTTGCTGTAAAGTCTTTAGTTGCTGTAAAGTCTTTTTTTGCTGTAAACTATTTAGTTGCTGTTAGTCTTTAGTTGCTGTAGTCTTTAGTTGCTGTAAAGTCTTTAGTTGCTGTAAAGTCTTTAGTTGCTGTTAGTCTTTAGTTGCTGTAAAGTCTTTAGTTGCTGTTAGTCTTTAGTTTGCTGTAAAGTCTTTTTTTGCTGTAAACTATTTAGTTGCTGTAGTTTTTAGTTGCTGTAGTTTTTAGTTGCTGTTAGTCTTTAGTTGCTGTAGTCTTTAGTTGCTGTAAAGTCTTTAGTTGCTGTAAATTCTTTAGTTGCTGTTAGTCTTTAGTTGCTGCAGTTTTTAGTTGCTGTAGTCTTTAGTTGCTGTAGTCTTTAGTTGCTGTAAAGTCTTTAGTTGCTGTTAGTCTTTAGTTGCTGTAAAGTCTTTAGTTGCTGTTAGTCTTTAGTTGCTGTAAAGTCTTTAGTTGCTGTTAGTCTTTAGTTGCTGTAAAGTCTTTAGTTGCTGTTAGTCTTTAGTTGCTGTAAAGTCTTTAGTTGCTGTTAGTCTTTAGTTGCTGTAAAGTCTTTTTTTGCTGTAAACTATTTAGTTGCTGTAGTTTTTAGTTGCTGTTAGTCTTTAGTTGCTGTAGACTTTAGTTGCTGTAAAGTCTTTAGTTGCTGTAAATTCTTTAGTTACTGTTAGTCTTTAGTTGCTGCAGTTTTTAGTTGCTGTAGTCTTTAGTTGCTGTAGTCTTTAGTTGCTGTAAAGTCTTTAGTTGCTGTTAGTCTTTAGTTGCTGTAAAGTCTTTAGTTGCTGTTAGTCTTTAGTTGCTGTAAAGTCTTTAGTTGCTGTTAGTCTTTAGTTGCTGTAAAGTCTTTAGTTGCTGTTAGTCTTTAGTTGCTGTAAAGTCTTTAGTTGCTGTTAGTCTTTAGTTGCTGTAAAGTCTTTTTTTGCTGTAAACTATTTAGTTGCTGTTAGTCTTTAGTTGCTGTAGTCTTTAGTTGCTGTAAAGTCTTTAGTTGCTGTAAAGTCTTTAGTTGCTGTAAAGTTTTTAGTTGCTGTAAAGTCTTTAGTTGCTCTAAAGTCTTTAGTTGCTGTAGTCTTTAGTTGCTGTAAAGTTTTTAGTTGCTGTTAGTCTTTAGTTGCTGTAAAGTCTTTAGTTGTTGAGAGTCTTTAGTTGCTGAAAAGTCTTTAGTTGCTGTAAAGTTTTTAGTTGCTGTTAGTCTTTAGTTGCTGTAAAGTCTTTAGTTGCTGTTAGTCTTTAGTTGCTGTAAAGTCTTTAGTTGCTGTAAAGTCTTTTGTTGCTGTTAGTCTTTAGTTGCTGTAAAGTCTTTAGTTGCTCTAAAGTCTTTAGTTGCTCTAAAGTCTTTAGTTGCTGTAGTCTTTAGTTGATGTAAAGTTTTTAGTTGCTGTAAAGTCTTTAGTTGCTTGAGAGTCTTTAGTTGCTGAAAAGTCTTTAGTTGCTGTAAAGTTTTAGTTGCTGTTAGTCTTTAGTTGCTGTAAAGTCTTTAGTTGCTGTAAAGTCTTTTGTTGCTGTTAGTCTTTAGTTGCTGTAAAGTCTTTAGTTGCTCTAAAGTCTTTAGTTGCTGTAAAGTCTTTAGTTGCTGTAAAGTCTTTAGTTGCTCTAAAGTCTTTAGTTGCTCTAAAGTCTTTAGTTGCTGTAAAGTCTTTAGTTGATGTAAAGTTTTTAGTTGCTGTAAAGTCTTTAGTTGCTGTTAGTCTTTAGTTGCTGTAAAGTCTTTAGTTGCTGTTAGTCTTTAGTTGCTGTAAAGTC